TTGGTTAGAGTTACACCAAGATATTTTATATTTTTTTTGTGGCTATTGTGAAGGGTGTTGTTCCCCAATTTCCTTTTCAGCCCATTTATCATTTGTATAAAGGAGGGCTACTGATTTTTTTGAGTTAATTTTGTATTCAGTCACTTTGCTGAAGGTGTTTATCAGCTGTAGGAGTTCCCTGGTAAAATTTTGTAGGTCACTTATGTATACGATCATATCATCTGTGAATAGTGATACTTTGACTTCTTTTCCAATTTGTATCCCCTTGATCTCCTTTAGTTGTCTTAATGCTCCAGCTAAGACTTCAAGTACTATGTTGAATAGATATGGAGAGAGTGGGCACCTTGTCTTGTCCCTGATTTTTGTGGAAATGCTTTAGGTTTTGCTTTTTTTAATTTGATGTTGACTGTTGGCTTGTTGTATATTGCCTTTATTGTGTTTTGGAATATGACTTGTATCCCAGATCTTTCCAGTGCTTTTAAGGGGTATTTGATTTTATCAGTAGTTTTTAAGCATCTGATGAGATGATTATGTGTTTTTTTTTCCTTTCAGTTTGTTTATATGGTGGATTACATTCATGGATGTTTATACGTTGAACCACCCCTGCATCCCTGGGATGAGTCCTACTTGATTATGGTGGATGATATCTCTGATGTGTTCTTGGATTCAGTTTGCAAGTACTTTATTGAGTATATTCTATCAATGTTCCTAAGGGAAATTGTAAAAGGAATTTTTATTTGCCTGCTTCAGTTGTTGTTTCAGAGAATGATTGCCTCTGTCTGCTAACCGAGGCATAGCCTTGGAAGCTTCTAGACTTTGTATGATCTAACCTAGGCGTAGAATGTTTTCATCCTCTGAGACATACTGCTGAATAATTTCACCCTTTCTTGGTTTTTGTTTGTTTGTTTTTTGAGCTCATAGATGGCTGGTTCAACTCAGCTGTTTTGGCTAAATCTCTTCTCCCACTGTACTTATTCAATCTGGATTTTCTCTAGGCCTCTGACTAACTGCAACAATCTTTTCTAATTTTCTGGCACCTTCTAATTCTTTGGCTCATTCTGTCTTCACCTGTGTCTAGCTTGTTCTCTCATTCAACCTCTTTCTGTAAAACTGCCTCCTCTATCATTTTGCATTGCCCATTAAGTAGCTTTCCTTTCCTCTCTGTTCTTGTGAGAGTTGGACATATCCCATTCTGTCAAATCTTTCTCTGATTTGTCACTGTTTCTGCCATTCAATTAGACATCACTTTCAAACATGGGTGCTTCCTTTTACAAACTAACTTTACTTTAATTGTTTGGGATTGAAAGTGTATACCATCACATCTTGACTTAAGCTTTTCTTTACCTGAGACTTGTTCTATGCCAGGCTGGCCTTGAACTCAGAGACTTGCTTGCCTCTGTCTCTTGAATTAAAGGCATGTTTGTATTCCATCCAGATCACACAGACTTAGAAGGTCTTTGGATGTGATCTCTTGCCAGAGCAGCCATGTGTTGAATTAAAATTCCTCTACAACATCCTTTCTGTTTAAGCTGAAAATTGTACAGTTTGACTCTTACAATAGAAACAATCATCAATCCTGTCACCTTAACAGTCTGAATGTCCTCATAAGGATCCACTCTGCCATGTATGCGATGATCCTCCATAATTGAAGTCCTTGTCATCTGTCTTTCAGCAGTAGTCCATTTCAGCATCAAGGTTTTGCAATCTGCCAGTCTGATGAACTGTCTGTCCCACTTTAGCTAGTGTGTTAGCTGTCTCCATGTAAAGGGATCTGCTTTCTCCTCCTCCTCCTTCTCCTCCTCCTTCCTCCTCCTCCTCCTCCTCCTAGATTTATAATTGCCTTATTTACCTTGGCCTGGGCAGATATTTCGTTTACACTGTCTCAATATCCTCACCATCCATCTCCCAGCCCCCATCCAATGCCATCCACCTTAATCCTTCCTATCTGGACTGCCTTCCATTCAAAATCCTATGGTACTTTCTTGTGTTTTTCATCTGGGCATTTTCATGCCATTATTGGAGTCCTTTCTCTTAGCTCACATGTTTTTTTTCTCCATGCTAACCCATCCAGGCGTCCTCCTTCCTCCTCTATTCCCACCCCCGGGGATCTGCTTTCTGCATTGCTGCCTTTCTGCATCAATTCTTTGAGTTGTGTCTTTTATTTGGAAACTTCTCTTATTTGGATTGAATATTTATTAATTTTGATGCAACTCAGAGTCTTTCATCATCTATGGAAATGTAGACAAAACCTCTTTTCCATCATACCACATTCCCTGAGTTCCATTCTGATGTTAAAACATCTTTTTTTTTTTTAAGGAAAAAAATTGTTTTTTTAAGAAAAACAAAAACCATTGGGAGACATATTTCAATCCCCCCCACACGATGTATTTGCCTGATAGCCCACAATCCTCTGATTCTGGGATAAATATGGAATTGAAAATTTAACTTTAGAAAAAAATACATGTGATAACAGGGATTCAACAACATAGAAATAACAGAGTGTTTTTCAATTTCTGACACTAAAAACAGTAGCCCCAACGGTCATTGAGCTGGGCTGTTAAGCACCAACATTTGTCTCATCAACAGTAAGGGTAAATGATGGATAAGGTATCTGAAGGATAATTTGCTTCCCAAAGAATTGAGACAGGGTGTTTCTTTCTTTCTTTTTTTTTTTTTTTTTTTTTTTTTTTTTTTTTTTTTTTTTTTTTTTTAGATAGGAACTTATACATCCCAGAATGACATAATACATGATATATAACTGAAACTGGCCTTGAACTCCCAAATCTCCTGATTTTATCTCCCGAGTCCTGGGATAATAAGCATAGGCTAACACGCTATGCCCGTTAATATGATGTTAAAACATCTTAACGTGTACAAAGTTGAACTAATTCAGTGGATCCCCACCCCCATCTAGTATCTTTCAGCTAATCATGTTTTCTCATGCATTCTGTTAGCTTGTGTCTTTTTATTGGGGTAACAGAGTCCATCGATGTTGAGACCAATGACCACTGATTGTAGCTTCTTGTTAGCTTGATGTTGGTTGTGTTAGTGTGTGTGTTTGTTTGTGGTTTTTTATTCTCTGGTGTGGAATATTTCCTCTGTTTTTTTTTTTTTTTTTTTTTTTTTGGGGTGTAGTTTACCTCCTTGAGTTGGATTTTTCTATACAGCTGGCTTTGTGGATAAATATTGTTTAAATTTGCTTTTGTCACGGAATATCTTTTCTCCATCTATGATGACTGGAAGTTTTGCTGGATAGAAAAGCCTGGGCTGGCATTTGTGGTCTCTTATGGTCTGCATGCTATCTGGCTAGGTTCTTCTGGATTTTAAAGTCTTTGTTGAGAAGTCTGGTGTAATTCTAATAGGTCTGTCTTTATATGCTACTTTGCCCTCATCTGTTGTGGCTTTTCATTTTCTTCCTTCTGTACATTTAGTGTTTTGATTATTATGTGGTGAGATATTTCCTTTTTTGGTCTAATATATTTGGTGTTCTGTAAGCTTCTTGTACATTTAAAGGCATCTTTTTCTTTAGGTTATGGAAAATTTCTTCTATGATTTTGTTGAAGATGTTTTCTGGGCCTTTGAGAGGGGAATCTTCTCCTTCTTTTATTCCTATTATTCTTAGGTTTGATCTTTTCATAGTGTTCCACATTTCCTGGATGTTTCATGTAAGAAACTTTTTAGATTTAGCATTTTCTTTGACTGATATATAAATTTCTTCTATTGTTATCTTCTGTGCCTGAGAGTCTCTCTTCCATCTCCTGTACTCTGTTGGTGAGACTGTTCTATTTCCTAGGGTTTCCTTCTCTAAGATTGCTTCAGTTTGTGTTTTCCTTATTGCTTCTATTTCCATTTTCAGGTCTTAAACAGTTTTATTCACTTCCTTCTCCTGACTGCTTGTATTTTTCTGTATTTCTTTTAGGGGTTTATTAATTTCCTTCATCTATTTTCTGTGTCTCTTTAAGAGATTTATTTATTTCCTTTTAAAAGGCCTGTATCGTCTCCAATAGATTATATTTAAGGTGGTTTCCTTGCTCTTCAGCTGTGTTAGAATGTGCAGGACTTATCGTAGTAGGATAGCTGGGTTCTGGTGGTGCCATATTGCCTTGGGTTTTGTTAAGAGTGTTCTTATACTGGTGTTTAGCCTTGGCAGGCCTGGTGGACCCTGATGGCAGTAGGCTTCTGGGATTGCAGGTAGAGATGCTATCCCTTGATTGGCTGCAGGCCTCTGATAACCCCTGATGGCTGCCAGCCTCTGATAGTCTCTCCTGGTTGCTGTCTTGATAGTCCCTGATGGCTGCTGCCTCTGGGATTGCAGGTAGAGCTGGTGCATGGAGGGCATGGGGAAGACCAAACTGCTGCTGGGTTTGCCCAGGGAGTCCCACTGCTGTCTTGCTGGTTTCTGATGGCCTCTGCCTCTGGGATTTGCAGGTAGAGTTGGAGCCCTGTAAAATGGTGCACTGGGAACTGAAAGTTTTGCAAGAAATTATTTTTTCTTTCTTTTCATCTCCTTGAAGCCCAGTAGAATGTCTGATATTTTTAGGCAGTATTTCTTTTAAAAATATAAGTCAAATCCCATTTCTCACAACCACCTCATCCGACTGGACTCTAAATAGAAAGCAGGAAGGTGAAGCTCAGTGTTAACAGGAACTACAAGAGGGACACAACAACAGCAAAAAGGGTCAGAGTGAAGTCCTAGATTTTGTAGGGAAAGAAGTTGGGGAGGAATCACCCAACACCAGTCTACACTGAATGTGAGCAGCGATTGAGGGCAGTGAGCCGCAGCCATACTGACAACCATGGCAAGAGCTCCATGTTGATGAAATGAGAAGTGTAGAGACACTGAGTTCATGGAGGTATGTGCTGACCTCCTCCATGTAGGACAGAGAGATGCTCACCCACACAGCTAGGCTGAGCAGCAGGCACACCTGCTTAGGACACAGGGCTCCATCTTAGCCAGATACACAGTTCTAATGCTGCTGTGCCTCTCTCTTTCCTTCTAGCCTCCCTTTTGACCTGCAGTCACCTTGCCACCTCTGCTCAGCTCCGTGTTGAAGCAGTGCCACCCAGTGTCGCTAAAGGCGAAAGTGTCCTTCTGCTGGTTCACAACCTCCCACAGAAACTTCGAAGCCTCTTCTGGTACAAAGGGGTGAATGTGTTCAAGAATCTTGAGGTTGCCCGACACACAATAGCCACTAATTCAACTGTGCAGGGACCTGCATACAACGGTAGAGAGACACTATACAGCAATGGATCCCTGCTGATCCGCAATGCCACCCGGAAGGATGCTGGATTCTACACCCTACGAACCCTGAGCACAGATCTGAACGCTGAAGTAGCACATGTGCAACTCTATGTGGACAGTAAGTGACTGTCTGTGATCACTCAGTGATGGTCCAGGTATAGACACACATGTCTGCTTTGTTTGGCCTGTGCATGCCTCTGCTCTGCACTGTGTCCTCATGTTGGTGTTTGAACACTTCGTTCAGGACACACATCATGGAGACAAATGGCATAGATTCTATTTCTGCCCTGATTCCACTCTCAGAGGGGTGTGTGTGTGTGTGTGTGTGTGTGTGGTGTGCGTGTAACTCAGTGCAAGGAATATTGGACTTAGTCTAGTCTCTTGGGGTTCTCACTGTCAACATGAGAACCCCAAGTATCAAGAAAGATCCTGCTGACATCAGGAGATTTTGGTATCATCACAGAGAGGTGAGCACCAGTGATCCCTGGCTCCAGACCTCTGTCCCAGCTTGGACTACAAGTGACCCTGAGGAGTGTTTTGCCAGGGTTGGACTCTTACTTCCTGTTGGAGCTGACATGTAATAATAGTTTTTGACTGTCCATATTTCATAGCATGTGAAACCAGCTGGTGCACTCTTTTGAGAGACACTTAGACGTTTAAGCAAGGTCACCTGGGAACCTCCTTCTTAGACTCAGTATGGAGAGCCCAGCTGACCAGGTCATCAGACCATCAGCCAACTGTCCTCATTGGCTTATGAGTCTTCACAGGAAGGTCAGGGTCCCAAAGGGGAGGAACAGAGGACCCAGGTCCTCCTGGCAAGTCCTTGTCCTCTGAGGTCCAGCCCAGGGCATTCTCTCCTGAAGGAAACAGTAAAAGCCTCTGACAGCAGAGACATGCAGTCATGCTTCTGATCATCTAGGGGGTGATATTAGCTCACAGTCAAACTTGATAGGCTGGTTTCCTAGAGAACATAAAAGAAATGGTTTCTATTTCTGTTCCAACAGACCTGCTGGTCCCTCCCACAAGGCTAGTTTGACCTACTGGCTGCTTCTCCTTTCTAGCATCTTGAATGGAGAAAGAGAGGATGACAGGGAAATTACCAAACAAAGGACAGAGGCATCCCTAAAAGGTCATGGGCAGACCCAAACTACATCTCAGCCAACAAAGGAGGCTGGGATTCAGGCTCCCCTCTTACACCCTCCACCGCAGAGTGAGTCCACACCTCTCCAGGGCTCAGGTGACCTGCTGCACACACAGAACACGGATCTCCGGATACTCCTGGATGTCTGTCCTGGATCAGACCCTGAATGCTAACACCAGCGATAAGCGATGAGTGTCCTACCCCTGGTGTCTCTCAGCTACTCCCTTTCCAGCCCTCACAGACACCGCTGTCACCTTCTGGCTGAGTGTAAATTCCGCCTTCCCAGAGCATGGAGGACATGGGGATGACTGGGTGCTCAGTGGAGTTTCTGTGTCGCAAAGGATGCATAGGGAGCACGGTGTCTTTGGTGGTGGCAGAGCCAAAGCCAGGATAAAGCAGAGGTCAGCCGTGGAGTGAGCTGGTGGGCTCTGGGTCACAGAGGGGCTTAGGAGCCTGTTGCTCACTGTGGAGTCTGGACTCTGAAACATAAGCACAGAGAGAGGGAGAGAGAAGTGGCCTTAAACAAGGACCCCACCCACAGCCCATGTGACTCTGGGTGAGGCTTCTGCCTTGGTGCAGACTCAGCTCAGAGGGAGGTGAGACAGTAGAGCCGACCTGGAAAGCAGAGCTAACTCCAGGACAGCAGAGCTGACCCTAGTAGAGCAGGGCTGACCCCAGGACAGGAGAAATGACCTCGGGACAGCAGAGATGACTGACCCCAGTACAGCAGAGCTGACCCTAGTAGAGCAGAGCTGACCCCAGTACAGCAGAGCTGACCCCGGGACAACAGAGATGACCCCAGGACATCAGAGCTGACCACGGGGCAGCAGAGAATGCTGAAGCCCCTCTATGTTATGGGTGGACCCTGGCAACCCACCACCGGAGACTGTGGATTCCCGGCTGTTCCTCCCTCAAAGGGGCCCAGAAGTGAAGAGAGAATTCCTTAACAGTGTGGGAGAGAGTAGTGCTCAGGCCCTGGTTGGAGTCTCCAAGGACAAGGGTGTGAAGGAGACTCAAGGTGTCTGCTCGTCTCCTTAGCAGAGATGATACAGGCAGGCAGAGGTTTAGCAGCAGGAGGTTCTCAGTGAACAGGAAATGGTAATGATGGCCATGAAAAGGCAGATTATTCTCCACTCAAAGTACTGTGGCCACGATCTTCTGAAGACCGCTGTTACCAACTATGTCAGGGAGACTCATAATGCATCTGACAAGGGTAGGCCAGTGAGGTGTCTCAAGGAGTGAAGGCACATTCTATCATGCCCCATGACTTGAGTTTAATCCTCAGCTCCCACGTGAGGGAAGGAAAGAACCCCATGACTCCCTCAAATTGTCTTCTGCCCCACACACAGGTACTGTGGCATGCACCCACCCATATACATTTCTATGCAGGCATGCACGTGTGTTCACATTTATGCATTCACACACATATGAAACAGAAATAAAAGTAAAAGAATTAAATCAAAGTTATTCACTAGCCTCAAAGCTGAGGGTTTTATAAGTAAAACCCTGGACCCAGTGGGCCTCAGTTTCTCATTAAGTTTCATTCATTCTGCACAGGTATCTTGAGTTTTTTTTTTTTTTTTTAAAGGAAGCATTTTTTTTTTAAATATGTAAGGCAGATCCTGCTCCTCACAAAACACTATTCCAAGTGTACTGGAACACAGGCCAGCACAAAAAGCTAGAAGGTGAAGGCAGGCGTTGGCTGGAAACACAGAAGGAACAGAGCATCATCAACAACAACAGAGTCAGAAAGCCCAAACACAAACTGTACAGAAAGATGCCGGGGAGGCATCACCCCCCAGTCTACACGGAGAGTGAGCAGGCAGCAGAGTGCAGTGAGCTCTGGCCATGTTGGCACCTGTGGAAAGAGCACCACAGATGAAATGACAAGTGCAGGGACACAGAAGGCACGGAGGTAGTGTGCTGACCACGATTAGTGGGAGAAGCACACCCGGGCACCTCAGCTGAGGACACGCTGCCCCATCTTAGCTGAAAAACAAAGGTCCCAATATTGCTGTGTCTCTCTTCCCTTCCAGCATGCTGTTTGACCTGTGTTCACCCTCCTGCCCCTGCTCAGCTCCGAATTGAAGCTGTGCCACCCAGCGTGGCTGAAGGTGGAAGTGTTCTTTTACTCGTCCATCATCTCCCAGCGAGTCTTCGAGCCCTTTTCTGGTACAAAGGGGTGAATGTGTTCAAGAATCTTGAGGTTGCCCGACACACAGTAGCCACCAATTCAAGTGTGCAGGGACCTGCAGGCAACGGTAGAGAGACACTGTACAGCAATGGATCCCTGCTGATCCAGAACGTTACCTGGAATGACGCTGGATTCTACACCCTACGAACCCTGAGCACAGATCTGAACGCCGAAGTAGCACATGTGCAACTCCAGATGGACAGTAAGTGATCGTCTGTGGTAAGTCAGCGCTGTGTGGGGCTTAGTCCTCATATTGTCTCCATGTGGAGGTCTGAGCACTTAGTGCAAGACACACACATGGTGGAAACAAATGCCCCTAGGTCAGCCTCCATTGTCTGTCCCCCTCCTGCACCAAGAAACTCAGCCTGAGACATCAGACACGCTCCAATCTTGTGGGGAATCTCAATGCAAGTTTTGCTAAGAAAGGCTCTGTGGTTTCAGGCAGGGGCTGGTTGGGGGTAAACCATGGCATCCTAAGGGTGTTGAGCACCAGGAAGTCCTGGCTGTAGTAATCTGCTTAGGCTCAACTACTGGTGAAGTGTTTTGCTGGTGCTAGACTAGTCATACCTCTCAGAGTTGACAGACAACAGTGGTTCTGGCTGTCCATGTCAAACTGGGGTAGTCATTTTCTTCAAACATGAGTTTTGTAATAAAATCTAGGAACTGTAGCAGAGGCCACAGAGGAGTGCTGCTTCCTGGAGCTGCTGGCAGTGGACCGGACCCTCGGATTTCCTGCAGGCCAATATGGTGGTGGCATTTTCAATTGTTGATTCATCTTTTCAAATTGACCCTAGTTTCTGTGAAGAAGGCATAAAACCAGCCAGCATAGTTCTTGAGCCTTTTCCAAGACTTGAGCCTGCCAGAAAGACCAGACTGCCCTTACCCATTCCTAGACCTGTGTGCTGCAAGGCAGAGCAGGAACATCTGGAAGGTGAAGTCAGGGGTTGACGGGAGCCACAAAGGAAGGGAGAAAACAGAGAATGAAGATGTGAAGTCTGAGAAGAAAAGGCTCTGCGGAGGCATAGTCTCGACCTCCAGTGTGAATGAGTGTGAGCGGGTGTTTGTCTGGGAGTGATGGGGCAGCCTCATAGCCACCCAAGGAGAGAGTTACATGCAGAGAAATGACACATTTCAGGGCACTGAGGGAGGGAGTGGTGGAGGTCCTGTTGCTGACCTCCACCAGGTGGAACAGAAACACCCAGACTCACTTCTTTAGGCTGAGTGACGAATCCACCTGCCGAGCGTGGAGAGCCCCGTCTGTCTCTTCACCAAGAACAACGATCCCCATGTGATAATTTTTTCTTTTCCCTTCCAGCCTCCCTTTCTACCTGCTGTAACCCTCTCACCTCTGCCCCACTCACGATCAGTCCAGTGCCAAGGAATCCCGGTAAAGGACAAAATGTTCTTCTCCGTGTTCATAATCTGCCCAAAGATCTTCGAATGTTTTTTTGGTACAAATCTGCGTACAGCACCCAGAACCTTAAAATTGCAGAATATAGCGGAGCCATGAACTACGTCAGCAGGGGGCCCGCACACAGCCGAAGAATGACGGTGTACACCAACGGATCCCTGCTGCTCCAGGACGTCGTTGAGAAAGATTCAGGGTTTTATACACTAGAAACTTTAAGCAGAGATTTCCAAACTGAAAAGACACACGTGCAGATTCATATAAGCCGTAAGTGACTCTCGGTGACTTCAGCTACTGGCTGTGACCTGTCCTGCTTTGTACACTGAACTGTCAGGGCGGGGCTGTGCCTGCTCTCCCCTCCACCCCCAGCATGGTGTCCTCACACTGAGGACGGGGCACTCACTGCTGGAAATACGGTGGGTAGACAAACAGCATTAGATCAGAACCCCTCGCCTGTCTTTACCTGCAGACAGGGGGAAACAAGCTGGGTAAACGCAGCCCGAGGATGTCAGACTCAGCGCAGACACTTGGGGTCTCACTATGCACACGGCCCTGAGAGAGACTGTGGGGGTCAGGCAGGTCCTGGATGAGGATCTTCTGGGATCCTCACAGAGAACACCAAGGAGCCTTGCATGCAAGTCTCTGTCCCTGGCTAGACTCCAGATGACAGTGGGAAGCTTTTGGTAACTGCTTTGTTCTGACTTCCTGTTAGAGCTGACATGAGACAAGGCTTTATTGACATGTGCACTGGCATGAGGGCCACCGTTAGGCTAGGTCCCTTGCTCATCTTCTCCAGAGACTCAGCAGGGAGAGCATAGCTGGACAGGCGCCCAGGCCATTAACTAACTGTCCCAATGCACTTATAAGATCTTACAGAAAGACCAGGGTCTCCAAAGTGAGGAATAAAGGACACAGGTTCTCTTTGCAAGTGATTTTTCTCTGGGGTCCAGCCTCTGAAATTCTCTCTGGCAGGCAATTGGTAACAGAGGTGCTGATCTGGACAGCTCCCAGACAGGAGATGCAGTTCTCCCAGTCATCACTAGGTGGCTATAGAAGACACACGGCCACCACCTAGAAAAGTATTTCCAGGAGCCACGAGATTAATTGTAGCCTGGCTTCCGCCCCCGTCCCTGCAGACCTGGAGGTCTCCGACACAGCCGTCTCAGACCCACTGGCTGCTCCTGTGTTTTTAAGCACACAAGTCTGTCAGAGGATCTTTTGTAGCCACCCCTTCCTCCTGGCACTTCTTACAGGGAAATCACCTAGAGAGCTGTAACACAGGAAGGGCGTGGGCAGATTCAATGCATGGCTCAGCCATCACAAGAAGATGGAGGGTCCCTCTGAAAGTTCCCCCAGGCTGATACAACCACTGTCCTCTCTTCAGGACTCAGGTCATCTCCTGCTTCACGCCCACAGGACACCCCTCACACTACTCCTGGGCCTCATGACAATGCACCCTGACTGGTGACTCCAGTGAGAAAGGGTCTGTTCCTTTTCCCAGGCATCACTCACTCAGCTGGTCTTTCCGGCCCCCACAAGCATCTCTGTAACCTGCCTGCAGGGAATAAATCCTAACTTCTCAGAGCACTGAGCACACAGGGTAGATTAGTGCTCAGTTAGGATTCTGTGTCACAGAGAACATTCTGGGAGGACACAGAGAGGGCTGGTCCGGGATGAACTATTGTCCTAGGGCACAGAGATTATCATTAGCCTGTTGCTCACTCTGTGGTCTGTAGGACTGAAACACACACACACACACACACACACACACACACCAACCGGGACACCAGGCAGGACTAAGTGTGGAAGGGACAGAGCAGAGCCTGGGACACTATCCCTGACAACAGTCAGCATCACCCTGGGAAGGGCTCCTGCCTGGCAGGAGGCTGCAGAGCTTGGGGCAGGGTTGGAGCGAACGCTGTTCTCCACAGAGGGAGGGCAGAGCAGGCAGTAGGGACCATGGAGACCCATGGCGTACTTCCCTGCAAAGGGTTCAGCCCCGGGAGTGGTTCCTGCTCACAGGTGAGGACAACACTGCCTGCCTGTGAGGGAGGGGAGCTCAGAGCCTGGCTGGAGTCTCCAAAGGGGAGAGGATAGGAAAGAATCCCTCAAGTTGTCCTCTGAGCTCCATCAAGGTGCTGTGATGAGCACCCTCCCAGTCACACAAGATGGTGTACATCTGTACCTGCACAAACACACGCTCACACCCACCCACACCTACACTCCTACACCCCACAAATGCACAAGTCAATGTGAGCTGGAGGTTTAACCAGTGTCAGTAGCTCCAAGTATGAGAACTTCATTAACATCAGTCTTACAAGGCCCAGGGACTTTCATTCATTCAACATCCACACAGTTTTTGTTTTTGAGACAGGGTTTCTCTGTATAGCCCTGGCTGTCCATGCTGGCTCCAAACTCACAGAGATCCACCTGCATGTTCCTCCTGAGTGCTGGGTTAAAGGCGTGCACCACCGCCCCTAGCCCGCCACCCAAATGCATCTGGACCTGTCCAGGCATTGAACCTTCCAGAAACACCAGGCTAGGTTTTCCTAACAAGACCCTAGCTCTAGTGAACTGGAAGAAAGACCGGTGATCTCACCTTGAAGTGAAGCCAGGGGTTGATTGGGACAAGAAAAGAAACAGATCAAAGAGGTCGGAAGGTTAAGTCTGGGGTCTGTAGAGAAACAAGAGGCCAGAGAGGGCAGGCCACCCCAACATGTTCTGAGCGCGAGGAAGCAAGTGAAGACAGAGAGGGTGAAAACAACACAAGGAGAGACTTCCAAACAGAGGAAGTGACATGAGCAGGTGCTTGGATTTCATTTGCTTACATCCTCTGTGTTGGACAGACACTCCCATCTACTTCCGATGAGTGATGGATCTAGGCTTCTCAGGACGCAGAAGATGAAGGTTCTGATATTGATGAGTTTATCCTTTTTCCTTTCTATCCTCCCCTTTTAGCTTGCATTCACCCTTCTGCCACTGACCAGCTCACTATCGAGCCAATGCCACCCAATGTTGCTGAAGGGAAAAATGCTCTCCTACTTGTTCATAACATCCCAGAGAACCTTCGGTCCTTTTCCTGGTACAAAGGGGTAGCCACTCTCAAGAGACATGAGATCGCGCGGAATGTCATAAAAACTAACAAGAGTAGTCTGGGACCTGCATACACCGGCAGACAGACAGTATACACTAATGGATCCCTGCTGCTGCACAATGCCACCCGGGAGGACGCTGGATTCTACACCCTACGAACCCTAAATACACGGCGTGAAAGTCAAGAAACACACGTGTACCTCCATATATACGGTAAGTGATTCGCTGGGACACCTGGGTGCTGGTGGGGTTGATTTCCCTTTACACACACAGGACTGTCGAGTGTGGACTATGCCTGCCTCCCCTCTACACTGTGTCTCCACACTAGAGTCTGGGCACTCAGTGCAGGACACACACCAAGTAGACATATAACAGATCAGACTCCCTCACCCGACTCCTTCTACAGAGGAGGATGTGCCTTGGCCAAGTCAGTGGGTGCCAGTTAGCCTCAGACTTTTGGGGGCACTCACCATAAACATGGCCCCGGGAAATAGCTCTTGTAAGTCAGGCAGGGCCTAGCTGAGAGAGCAATGATTTCATCACGGTGTAGTCAAGGGTCCAGATCTCCGTCCCAGACTCAACTCTAGTGGTCTCCAGAGAGGGCTAGAATTTGACCGCCTGTGGGAGCTGAGGGGAAACAAGGCTTCACTGACCGTTCAAGTCCCGTAGAGCATGGGAGCAGCTGCGCACTGCGGTGACGGCTGTAGTTCTGTAGGTCATCTGGTCATCTCTCTCTCCTAAGTCTCAGTGGTCAGGCGCCAGGACATACGCCGACTGTTCGGACGGACTTAGAAGCCTTTATAGGAAGGTCGTGCTCAGAAGGAGAGGGACAGAGAAGACAGTTCTCCAGGGAGCTCCTTGCCCTCCTGGGTCCAGTCTAGAGAATTCTCTTCTGCAGGTAAATGGCAACAGATGCTGCTGATTTGAGCAGCTCCCCCCTCCCAAGTTAGGACATGCTCAGATATAAGTGTAACTCGGGGATTCAGCAATGGTCATGCGCTGTGTGTGCTAAAGTAGGGAGACTGGGACCCAGCAAACTCAGTGTCAGAATCAGGGTCACACAGGCCATGGGTGGCAGATCCAAAGCAGAATCTGTTGTCTGTTGTCATGGCCCCAGTGTCTCCACGCTGGAGGCTTTTTTAGGTGTCTGTTGACTACAGAGGGCCCGGTTGAGCTCTCTGAAGGACTACTGTCATTTGGCCCTCTCCTGTGTTTCTTCACAGGGCCTGTGACACAGCCCTTTATTCAAGTCACTGACACTACAGTCAGAGAACAGAGCTATGTGGTTTTCACCTGCTTCTCAGCCGACACTGGAATCTCCACCCAGTGGCTCTTCAATAGCAAGAACCTGAAGCTCACAGAGAGGACGACCCTGTCCGCAACCAAGTTCCAGCTCAGCATAGATCCTGTCAGGAAGGAGGATGCTGGAGAGTATCAGTGTGTGGTCTCCAACCCGGTCAGTTCGAAGACCAGTCTCCCGGTCAGCCTGGCCGTGATGAATGAGTGACCCTCCTCACACCCCGCTGCAGAGCGGGGGCCTTTCTGTATCGATGGGGGTACAACATGGATAAATATTATGTGGTAAAAATGATCAGTTAACCACTCAGGCACAGCAAACATGTTGAGTCAGGCTTGTAATCCTGGGATAATCCTGTACAATGACTGACCGGGACATAGAGAGAGACTCAGTTTCCAAACGGAGGTGAAAACATCAATATTGTAAACAGAAATGCAAAGGCATTACCAACTTTGGTCATGGATCAAATATCCAGCCAACCCCCAGAATCTACAGGAATTCATTTCAGGAGCCCTCAACACTCCTTGTGCTCCGAGTCCCTCGTTAACATGGGGCAGTGTTTTCACAGAGACAAACACCTGTTTTCATATGCTTAAATATCTAAGGTGCATAACTGGTTCATATAACACTAATGCTCCCTAGACACCAGCTATCCATGTGACGTGAGAAAGAAGAACGGGAGAAGGTACTGTCCATCTTTCCTGGTGGACATAACTTTCATCTAAATAGTTTAGAAGCACAACTTGATGCACAGATGTCAAATCCATCACAAAGGCCCAACTGGACTCTTTCCATCCTGACAGTGGCACCACAATGTGGCGTTGTATAAGATTCTTTTTCCTGCTAACTTTTTCTGATACATGCATGGGATTTCCCACTTTGGCCATTCTGAAGTGAGCAACTAAGCAGCATGAAGCACGTTTTCTTGTGGCCGTCAATATTGTGCATCCTCAAAGCGTTTTTAAGCCCACCCCTGTGTAACTCCATCTACTCCTGTCTCTATGCATGGGACAAAACAGCCCATCTAATTGTTTGTGGCCAACATAAGTTTACAGAAGAGCAGCTCAGGCAGGTGTGTTTGCTCATCGGTTTCAGAAACTTCTGTTGAATCTTTAGGATTTAGAATCTCCAAATAAGTTCATGTCACCTACAGACCATTAACTGGCCACCTTTCAATTTTTTGTGTGTTGCCCGGTTTTTTTGTTTAGGACTCCTAAGTGAAAACTGAACAAAAATTGGCCACAGTAGCATCCTTTTGCTGATTCTGGACTCAGAGAGAAAGTTGTCAGTGTCCCCACCAAGTACTGAGTTGGCTGCGGGTTTTCCTTCGTGCTACTACTGCCACAGCCATCTGTCACTAATTGTCTGTTTTCGTCATTAAAAACTGTTCACGTTACCTAGTGGTGGTGGCACACGCCTTTAATATCAGCACTTGGGAGGCAGAGGCAGGTGGATCTCTGTGAGTTTGAGGCCCACATGGTTTAAAGAGCAAGTTCCAGGACAGCCAGGCCGACACAGAGAAACCTTATCTTGAAAACCAAAACTAAACAAAACAAAAAATTGTTCATTTTTGTCAAATGTCTTCATTGGTTCAGTCTTATTGGTTATGCCTGGAATTAGTTTTGTATTTCATGTTTCTACCTCTGTAGGTTCCGAGTTACTAGGACTGTGTCTGTTTCATCTAGGTGACTCAATAGTTAGCACATAACTATTGAGTACTCACAGAATTTTCAGAATTCTCAAGAATGAATGATAAGGTTGCAAATTTCACTTCTAGTATTAATAATGTTACTCTGTTAAAAATAAAATTAAGCTAAAGTTTATCAATATTTCTAATCACTTTGAAGAACAAATTTTTGTTTTTTTTTATACACACACACACACACACACACACACACACACACACACATATAACAATTTATTTGCTTTATATCCCAAATGTAGTCCCTCCCTTATCTCCTTTTGGTCCCTCCTTCAATCCCTCTTGGCCCCATGTCTCCTTCCCCTAGTCCACTTAAAGGAAGAGACTTCCTTCCCTACTGTCTGACCCTAGCCTATGAAGTCTCATCAGGACTGCCTGGATCCTCTTCCTCTGTGGGCTGGCAAGGCTGCCCCTCCAGGGGGTAGTGATCAAAGAGCAACTGACTTCATGTCAGAGACAGCTTCTGCTACCTTTGCTAGAAGACCCACACAGAGACTGGGTTGCCTATGGGCTATATCTGAGCAGGGAGATCTAGGCCTGCTCCATACATGGTCCTTGGTTGATATATCAGTCTCTATAAGCCCCCTGGGGTCATATTTTTTTTTGTCTTTGTTTGTCTCCTTGTGGAGCTCCTGTCCCCTCTGGATCCTTCTATCCCCCCTTCCTTTCTTTCGTAAGACTCCCTGTGCCCTGTCCAAATCCCTGTGCCCTGCCCAAAGTTTGGCTGTGAGTCTCTGCATCTGCTGCTATCCCATGCTGGGTGGAATCTTTCAGAGGACATCTACGGTAGGCTCCCGTCCTGTTTCCTCTCTTCCACTGCTTCTGGTGTCTATCCTGTTTGCCTTTGGAATGAGAATTAAGCATTCTCTCTAGGGTCCTCCTAAGAACAAAATTTTGATCCATTTATAAACTATTATCATTTATTTGTATAGTTATTCTAACCCACAAGAACTTAAGTAGAGATGATAAAGGAATGATGCTTCCTGGCACACTCTCCATGGTTTGCTCAATTACTTTCTCGTTGTATAGCTTAGAACCAGCTGCTCAGGAGTGACACCACCATTGGTGAGCTGGACCCTCACACATTGATCACATAACAAGTAAATGCTCCTGTTGTAGGTGACGATTAATATTTACTATTGGTTTATCTTCTAGTAAAGCTTGCTGCTAATCTTAAACAGCTGTATAACCAAATCACCACACAGAGACTGGGTTTTTAGTTAACCTAGAACACAATGCTGGGCAATATTTACTCCCTCCTAAACCTCCCAGCTCTCAGTTTCCTAACATTTAGATTTCCCACATTTTACTTGCTTTTTGTGAAATCTTAGGTCTGGTTCATGCTCCACGTTCCAAGATCTCTCCTCCAGCTCTGCTCTCCTAGCTCTCCTCTTGCCCCTTCTCCTCCTTCTCCTCCCACTCCTCCTCCGCCTTCTGGCTCCTCCCCTCTTTCCTGTCCTCTGGCTCCTCCCTGCTCAACATTGTGTCCAGTTGCTTTATTTTGTTCCTGTTTACACAAGAGTTGAGACAGGATGCTTAGAATGAGTATCACAATGCAATATCTGAATTGAAACCAGAGAGTTGGGGGTGGGGTGGGGGAGAAATCAGTATTTAAATGAACAAGGGTAAGATGTATACATTAAAAAAATAACATTATACCAACATGCTCCACAAACATAACCACAGACCTGGCTGATGGAGAAAATGAGGTTCTCCATGTGTCTCTAGCTTGTGTCAGAAGATGCAAAGCAACCAGAACATCCGTCAAACTCCCGGCTCATCAGCCCAGTTTCAGCAAGTGATTGCCCCTATTTTTTATGTATTACATAATCAGTATCCATCTGAGCCTCAACAAAGCTCTCTATAAGGTTCACACATATGAGAGAAGGAAACCCATTGCCAAGAAGGTGGATCTGTTGAAAGCCTGGTCTGACCTTTAACATTCTTAGATTCATGCTTCTTCCTTAGGGAATCAGTGGCTCATTTCAGTCATCAGGGATACTTAATCTACATGTAACAAAACATCCATATTATAAGAGAAGAAAGCAGTGCTTAATTATACTAAGTATTCCTGGCACCATTAGCCCCAGAAATTCAAACATATTCACCCTTGGGACCCCTCTCACTGCCCAAGGTTTATAAGTCCTTGATTCACAAACTAAATCTCTCATGCCACTCCTCCATCATGATGGACTGAGATGCATCCTTTGTTCCACTGAATGCCTGGAGTGTGGCTGCCAGCTGACATGAGCTTCTGGACAGCCCAGACCTTTTGACAGCCACATACTGCTGGCACTGATAGCTCTTGCTATCAGGTAGTCCTGATGAGACTTGATAGGCTTGGGTCAGATGGTATGGAAGAGGGCTCCCTGATTCTGTGGTCTAGGGAAGGGGATAGGGAGAAGAGGGAGGGAGTGTGGGACCTGGAGGAGACAAAGGAGGAGCCTACAATTGGGATATAAAGTGAATAAATTATAACAAATAAATAAATAAATAGATAGATAGATAAATAAATAAATAAATAAAATGTGGTGGTTTGAATGAGAATGTCCCTCCCTCCCTTACATGACATTATTTGTATGCTCTGCCCTCTATTGGTGGAGCTATTTGAAAACAATGGATCAGATGGTTCGGCCCTTTTGGGAGAGGTATGCTGCTGTGAAAGGGCTTTAAAAATCTTGCTATTCACATTTTGTCTTTTCTGTCTCCTACTAGTGGATCAGCATGTGAGCTCTCAACTGCTCCCATTGCCGTGCTCTTATAGTTTATTTTCTATTGTTGTGAAGAGACTTAATGACTAAGGCAACTTACAAATGAAAAAATTTAACTTGTAGGCTCACAGTCCCAGAGGGAGAACAAGGCAAGCTGCAGGAAGGAATAGATCTGGAAAAAGAGCCAAGAGCTTACATCTAATCTACAATCATGAGGCAAAGAGATGGGGGAGCACTAAATGGAAATAAAGTGGGCTTTCAAAACCTGAAATTCCACGCTTAGCGACAGACCTCCTTCGACAAGGCTACATTTCCTAATTCTTCCCAAAGATTTCCACAACCGTAGACCAAGTATTCAATCATATGAGCATATGGGGATCATTCTCATTCAAACTATCACGCATGCCTCTGCCCTGCCTTCATGGAGTCTAATCATCTGAAGCTGTAAACCAATTAAATGCTTTCTTTTATAAGTTTCTTGGTCCTGGTGCTTTGTTATACCAATAGAAAAGAAACTCAGGCAAAATGAACAGTGAAATAAAGCATATTACTCTTGTGGTCTAGAGTGGTTTTCTGCAGGCGGTCACATCCACAATGGTTCAAGCATGGTATGAATTTCAATGCCAAGAGTGTGTTATTTCAGTGGAAAAAAAGAACTGTAAGTTGTGATTTTTATAACAGCTGGAAGGAAGAGGATTATCTTCATGGAAGCCAACTGGTTGCAGTTCACTTACAGATGTTTTCCATTTGCTTAGATATTGCATATGTGGTTAGGTGGGGGTATTGTCTCCATGACT